CGGGGATGTGTATATATAACACTTAGTACACAGTTATAATCTATATGCGGTTCATGATCCCACACAATACTTTCAACACAAATAATTCGTTGATCTTCAGCTTGATGCATTAGCACAGGTCCTTGAATACGTTCACCGATAGCATAAATAACTTTACATGTTTTTTGAAATTTTTTATCAACTTCAATTCGTCTATGTTGATCCAATTTGTTATCTTTAATTAAACTGAAAAGAAACTCAATACAGATTCAATCTTAATCATTTATCTCTTATCAAAACTATCAAAACCATGATCTTGAGTATAAAGTTTTCCGATCAATATATAACAGTAGTGTATCACAATCAACTATAAATCAATAATAAAATTCAACAAAAGAATAAAACAAATATCCTTTCTTTACTACCACATTTACTTCTTTCAATATTTATACGAATACCTCTATTTATGTTTTCAGCATCAGTTCATTTTGTATCAAGTTTACATTTCAATCCTTATTTTGTTTAAATTGTTCCAAAAGTTTTGTGTATGTCCATATCAATACCAACATCACCAACGTGAGACAAAAAATTCTATACATGTTATATCAGCATCTAAATGACTCCATACAGAATCATATAGAAGAAATTATCAGTAATACAGTTTATGGCAAAATAGAAAATCAGTTAAGGAGAAAAGAAACTGATACTGATTCAAGTCCAATAATATCTGCACCAATTAAAACCGTTTTTTCAGTATCTGTTTAAGTGAAAGTACACTTGTGACGAAATAATAGTTTCTTCATCAATCTAATATTATAGATTAAGTGAAATACTTTGGACTATAACTAAATTTTACGGGATTCCGGAACTTCGCCAATTGGCGAGTTTCCAGGGGGACGAATTAGCGAAAGTCGAATAAATTTTCATTAATGGAAGTGGAACGTTCATATCGTAAGTGATGTACCAGAATTATGTCTAGCAGTATAAAAATGTACCTCAAGCCACACAGTTAAGAATATAGTTGATATCAATCTTTCTAAGCAATACTACCGTTCTAGGGTAATTCGAGAAAGTTCATTGGAAATTCGCCAATTGGCGAAAGTACAGAGGGTATATTGGTGAAAGTTCACCGGACGTTCGCCAATGGCGAAATTCCTATTGGCGAATGTCCGGTACCCAATTTTACATTTCACTAAAGCAAAAATGTTAATGACATACATTCAATGCTTCGTTTTTTAAGTTCACTATCACGAGCTGTATGATAAAGATAGAAATTATGAAATAATGCTTTCGAAGGAATATAATCAACATTAAGATATGTTCCACCATATGTTGCATATTTTTCAATACATGTTGTCTAAAAATCAATTTTTATTGAAAAAAATACAAAATGAAGTTTATCAATAAACTTCAAGACCAAATTGTACAGC